AAATGTTTTCAATGTGACAATGCCCCAAACAGCAGCAGAACCCCCTTTTCTTCTCATCCCTAGTGAGAATTCTTGTCCCCGATTTCCTTTTTTTGGCAAAACACCCCCCTCCATGTCAGAGGCAGGTAGGAAGACTACGGATCTGTGGCACTTGGGAACGGAGTTCCTGGTCGTGCAGATCTGGATATTGTCTGAGGTGGGGGTGTCACTTGTGAGCCACGGGAAAGGCACGTGTACCTTACTTGTGTTTGTAAAACCAAAATGGAACTTGGCATTATTTCCACATGACCCACCTAACATGCTGACCTTCTGTTAGGGCCTCATGCCAACCACTTGACAGTATTCGGGTGACATTTTCTCTTTTCACTCCTCTTTCCCCTGGAGAAATTTCCCTGGAGGTCAGCGGGGAGGGGTCAGCCCCGCTCAGCACCCTGAGGGCCCAGCCGTGGAGGAGCAGCTGGTTCTGTAGGTTCCCCATGGCAACCTCCGCCCTGCCCCAGACTGACAATACTGCACGGGCAAACAATGACAGTCACATCAGTACCAACAACCACAGTAGTGTGGGCCTATATTGTGTAACTATCATACAGACATTCTGTCTGATCATGACTATACCTTGATGCTGGCTCTATGGACAAGAGACTTGTGCTTTTAACAGTGAAAACAATAATAGCAGTGTTTGTGTAGCAGGCAGGAATTTGAGAGTAAAAGCATGTGAGAATTTGTTGGGACAGGTACAGTGTTAGGTCACAGTGCAAGTAACTTCTGATGCCTTATCCACTGACACAGGATTCCTTTGGCCGGAGGCAAGAGAGAGGTCTGCCAAAGAGATGAAAGCATATTGAAAATCCCAGGGACGGGGTCTTTGCTTCTTTAACAAGAGAATCTGCGTAGTTAGTGTCTTGTATCACCTTGTCATGCAAGGCTAGGTTCTCCAAGTAGAAAACTGTGGTCTCTAGGGAGCCTTATGGTCAGAGTGGGAGTGGTACTTTTATCTTACCAGACAGGGGAATCCTGGAGACCCAAGAAATGGGGATGTTTCCCTCTTGGGCAGGACCCAGTGGGTCACTTAGAACTGCTCTAACGGACGCTGCAGCCCTGTTCTCCCCACTTTGCCACGGCTTCTTAGAGAAAGAGCCAGGCCTGGCAGGGGACTGACAATCAAACCTTAGAGTGTTGATTAGAAAGGAGGAGGGATAGATTCATGATTGTGGCAGTTGAATATGGCCAATCAGGCATCTCAGAAAAAAACGGACACATTTAACGTTGAACTAGTTTCTGTTGTATTTGGGGAAATGATGGATCAACAGTAAAGCTTGCCTCTATTTTTAGACACAAAACCTGGCACTGGCATTGTTCTGGAATCAGGAAATATGGGTATATTCTGTGACCACCCCCAAATTAATTGTGTCATCCATATAGTTGTTTCTCCCGAGGACGATGAGTCTTTCCAAATGTAATGAACAGTTCAGGGGGGATCTCTGGCTGAGGTTAGAGCATGCAATTCACTCATCACCAGATCTCTTCATTTGTCAATTTTTCCAAGAGATGCTGAAGTTTCCTTTTTAAAATTAGGACTTTTGGACTTTAAAGCTTGTTCCTGTACCCTTCTGGAGGGGAGACCCCTTTGCTGGGCAGGTGACTTAGGGCTTAGCTCTATGAGTCTCTCCTCCTGGCAGATCCCTAGCTCCAGGGCAGACCTGCGTATCAGATTTGGCAGGAAGTCGTCCAGTCTCCAATGCCCCCAGCACACGCCAGTGCCCTAGCCATGCCAGAGCTGGTCACACATGCCAGGTGGCGCCAGCCCACGCCGTCCCCTGCAGTGCCCTCACAGGCTGCCTTCTACCATGCGCCCTGGGACCTCTCCACGCTGGCCCTGCCTGGGGCTCCTCCTGCAGTCTGATAAGGCTCCCCCCAAAACCCCCTGCTGACCCCCAGTGACAGGGAGCAGCCCGTGTGCCCCTCAGCCTTGCTAGCGCCTTTACCCTGCCGCTCCTTTACCCTTGAAGACTCAACACAGGCCCTTACTGTTCTTCCTGGCCCCTCGAGCTTGTCGCCTGTCCCCTCCTCGCTCCCACAGCCCCTGCTCTGGCTACATCACTGTATTTTGGGCACGGTAATAAGCACGTGTCTAGCTCCTCCTCACTGGCCCACAAACTCTCAGAGCATAGTTAAGGCACAGGCTTGACTGGGATAACAGCGAGCAGAGCTCCAGATGCTTGATGGGCTCTCTTTAAATGTGTTTTGGATTAAACGTTGCCAGTTTGAGGTGATACTAGAGCCACACCTGGTCTTAAATGGTAACTACATCACTAATCTTTTAGTTTTCAAAGATACATAAACATGCAACAGGGTCATATAGCTATGATTTTTCACTCCAATTCTTCCTGTTTCTTGGATTTCCCACATTAGTGGACAATTCTGCCATAACCCGATTGCCCAGTCACTAGAATCCTTCACTCTTCCTCCTCTTCCTCAGCCTTCCTACATCACCTGCTCCTCCTCCTCCTTCTCTTTATCCTTCTCCCACCTCCTCCTCCTCCTCTTTTTCTCCTCCTCCTCCTTCCTTCTCCTCCCTCCCCATCTCTGCAACGATGATCCCCGCCAATGGCCCCTGCTGCTTTGCTTTGAAACACTCCCTCGTGCGTCTCTTTCTAACTGTAACGAAAAGTATTCCGAGGGGGTTCTGATTGTCTTTGGGGAGATCTTTTACTCTATTAGGCTTACGGCTTTCACCCTTCCTGACACCCTTACTTGGTTTTGCTTCCCAGACCAGGAATCTCACCGTGGATGGACGCTTTGGCACGTGGTCTCCGTGGACGCCCTGCACGCATACAGATGGCAGTGCCGTGGGATCCTGCCTCTGCCGAACCCGCTCCTGTGACAGCCCGGCCCCGCAGTGTGGCGGCTGGCAGTGTGAGGGTCCCAGCATGGAGATCGCCAACTGCTCCAGGTGTGACCCTCAGAACCTCCGGGCGTACTGCCGTGTGTTAGACTCAGATTCCCCAGGGGTTTGGGAACTCATTCATGACACAGACTGAATTTCCTTTGGGATAGAAAGGTGGCAAAAGGACAAAGACATTTACTGCTTAAAAATTACCTGATTTGGAGAATGAAATTTTAAACTATAAATTAGATTATAGATCTAAAGCTATTCCTATGTTCATCATTAGATTAGGAAAAATATTTCTAAAATGCACAATATGATTGGCTTGTTTGAGGAAAACATCCATGTTAGTTAAGAATCTTTTTCTGCAATAGATGCATTAATAGTCCCTTACTGGTAGAACATAATACATTAGTTAGGAGATAGGAAAAGCCAAGTCTCTGATCAAAAAATCTCTGCTCTGTGGTACATCCGAACTCAGAACACCCAATTTAACTAACATCAGGCACTGAGTAACCAGGAGAACAGCTTAAATAATGTAACATTGAGTGGGTTTCCTGTTTCCTATTGTGTTGTTTGTTAGATTTTTTTGTTTCAACTCTGCTCAGTGTGCGTCCTTTCCCTACACCTGTAGTAGATGACCACACAGATATTTTAAGCAAGCATCAGAAAGCTTCAGAAATCAGTCTCCGAGCTCCCTCCTCACTTGTTCATTCACTTAGGGTATTTTTAAGACGTATTATCTTCTTTTCATGAGCCTATTTAAAATGCAAAAAAACCTCAGGACAGTGAAATTCAGACTGGGTGATCAAATTGTATAAGAGCCCAGGGCATGAAAGTACTCAGGCCTCGATAAGGTGGGGGGAGCAGGCAGAAGAGGAAGATGCAGGTACAAAGGGCAAACTTTGCCCTCTGCTCACACACTTCACACCACAGAGTTGAAAGGAGCAAATATAGCTACAGAGATTAGTTTATTTTGCATTACAGAGGTCATGGGCATATCAACAGTATTTTATGCACTTCATACTTTCTATAAAACTAAGTAGTTTCCATCGATGCCTGGCAGAAACTTTGTAAAAGCTATCAAACTGCTGTTGTTGGAAGGTTACAATAAGTAGCTAATACTCTTTTCTCATATAGGCCTGCACTTGATAGGCCTGTTTAATGGGAAAAAGGCCTATCAAGTGCATTACTGTAACTTGTTTAGTTGGAAAGTCATTCTCTAAGCAGAGCTGCAATACTACAAGTGGTTATTTTAAGATTAGAAAATAAATAAGGGAACCAGTTTTAGTGATGCTTTAAATACATAAGGTGATTGCTTTGTACTGTCAATCATAAAAGTGGTCCACCTGCGGATATATGCTTGCTGTATGCTGTTTCTTTGGCCACTGTGTCTGCCTCTAAGTGGCATTTACAAGTATGTAAACCCACGTCCATATAATGAGTACATACATATACAATGGAATTCATTTATCTCCTCATTTATTATATTCCTATTACTTATATATACTTTTATTTATTTTCTGCCCTGTATACATGATTCATGTATTGTAAATGGAAGATACTATAAAATTCCATGTTTGTTAAATGGTTTAAGAAATTAAGAATTTCCAAACAATTTCAAAAGCACTCTTTTCTGCATTATCTAAAATTTTTTTTTCACATATAAAGAAACTTTAAAAGTAAAAATGTTATGTTATTTGTGCTGAAATTGCTATTTAAGTTTTGAATGTAATTCAGTGAATTACTTAGATAAATTTTATGATTGTAGGTAACAGGGTATAAGATACTAGCTAATTACCTTTATGAGAAAATGGGAGGATCTGTCTTATTTTGTGGTAATTTTAGTTAAATTATCATAAAGCAGCTTATTATACATAAAGCTGCTTATTATACATAAAATAAAATATATTTTATTTATATCACCAAGTTTCAGTAAATAAAGTAGGGAAATATGAAATACACTAAGACTTTTTCAGGAAGAATTTTTATTTGAAATTACTTTAAAAATTATATAATCAACTTATTATTTACACTTGGACCTTCAATGGCATAGTTGTGGACCTACATGTTCTTAAAGGAATGAATAAAGTAAAACCGAGAAGTAATGTTATTTTATTTTTTCCCAAAGGAAATGCAAATAGATCTCTACTAGGTTGATGGATGAGAGTGACAGATACCCAAAGAAACATATGTTTTTGCAGATGTAGAAAAAAAAATTCTACATGCAGTAGGCCATCTATGTGGAGTTTGGAATCTGAATTTAATAAATATCTTAACACATAAAATCTTTAAAAATACCTATAACTTATTTTTTAATAGTAGGAACAAACTGCTAAGGGAGATTTTTAAATTATAAACAATCCAAATATAGGCACTTTAAGGAAAAAATACAATACTAAAAAAATTCTTCTAGCAATCAATAACAGTTTATTTTATAAACCACTGTTTAAAAAATGGTTCACTTTATTTTTATTTTTTATATTTTTATGTATCTACATTATTCTATATGTATAATAATGTAAATACTATATTTATATACAATTTGCACTCCTTATACTCTTTATATCTTTGTCAATTTGAAATAAAATAGCCAAGAATCTGAATTTAAATTTCCTTCCTTCATTTTTTATAAAGTTTGTTTTAAAGCTTCCAACAGTATGCAAACATCACAGTGCTCTTTATCAATATGATTGCTGTCAAGAGAGTTATGATTTTAATAGAGTATAAAAGAAAACGTTATATACAGTTTCAGGTGGTCGTTTTGTTCAAAGATGTACTTTTCATAGATTATAAAGGATATAATACAGGTGAAAAAATTATAAACTCTAGTCTAGAGGTTTAGGGATTCATTTCTAAATTCATTTCTAAATGCTTTTCAGTAATAAACATTATTCTTCGTTTAATATTTTCATAACTCAGGTTTCTTAATGGTTTCTAATATAGCCCATGTAAAATTATAGTGCACTTAAAACTTTATTCCCAAATTTCTTATCTTGACTATAAATCAGATGCCTGTGGGCGGGGGACTGACAGTAAGTAATTGGGATTCACAGGGCACAGTCCCTCAGTCCCACCCTGGGACCCCTCTTCCCAGCAGCCCCACAGGCAGATGGTCCTCTGGAACATGGGCATTTGGCATGGATGCAGGCAGGAGCCGGGTGACCCAGTGATCCTATTGCTTCCTCTCCCCCAGGAACGGAGGCTGGACCCCCTGGACGTCATGGTCTCCCTGCAGCACCACCTGCGGGATCGGCTTCCAGGTGCGGCAGCGCTCCTGCAGCAACCCCACTCCCCGGCACGGGGGCCGCGTGTGCGTGGGGCAGAACCGCGAGGAAAGGTAGGTGCCCGCTCTGCACCCAGCATCGTCACCCTCTCGGTTACTCCCATCCCAGTGAGGTCTGTTTCCCAGCGGTTGTAGCTGGATCTAGCTTAGCTTGTCTGCGGCATCCCTTTCTGGTGAGCTGAATCGCCCTCTTCTTTTTCTGACATCCTTTACTTTTGACCAGAGCCTCCCGTTGACAGCATTGCTGGGCTGCCCTGGCGCCTGCACAGTTGGGTCCACTCAGCTGAGCAATTTCCGAGGCATCCGAGGCCCAGGGACCGCGTGCACCTCTGTGCTGGTCTCCTGGAGAACGACGGTTCTTATGAGAATTCAACTAGACCAGTTTCAAAAGCTGCAATCCAAGGAAGACCTACTAAGGTTTCATGTCCGAGAGCTATTGGGCCTGTGAGGTGAAGTTTTTGTCTGAACTCACTTAGGCAGCTGGAGTGCAGGTGAGAACATAGTCAGGGTTTTAGTTGTGTTTATAACTACTCACTAGTCTATTAATAAATTCCCTCAATGAAGCTGCCGTGCAACCCAAAATGGGAATTCTTTTCCATATCTGTTTTAAGCTTTTAGCACCTCATGTCAACATTTCAGTTTAGTCTTGGATTTAACAATACATTTCTTTATGTAAAATTCGAATTTGATTTCAGCCTCAAACTCTGCAGTTGTGATTGTTGAATCTTTCTTGCCTATTTTATGCATATTCCAGTTTATCACTATTGGGAAAGACTTCAAGTAGGTGAATTTCACAGTGATATTGAGATGATTATTCTGCTATAATGACTTAAATGTATTGAATGGCTCTGAATGCCTTTTAATTAAAATGTAGTCGGCTTTTATTTGGTGACATGAGTTCAGTGGAGCCTCTTAGAAAAATACCGTATGTAGATATTTGCTGTGTGATTAGTATTTATCTAAACAAAACCAACAGACTTACTGTAAGGTAGTTCTCTATTAGGTATTCGTTTTGACCTAAAATCATTCCTAAGGGAATCATTCCTTTCTTTCTTCACTGTATTTCTCACTGACCAATTAATATTTCATTCCTTTTGACTAAGAGGGAAATGAAGGTGATTTTTACAAAGCAGGGTTTGTCATTTTTTAAGTAGTCCCCTGGGACAGTCTCGTGCAGGCCTGTCATTTTCTATCTAACACCAGTTAGTATGTGGGAAAGCCTATTATAGAAGAATTGTCTCCCTGCTATTTCCAAGCCTTGTATGATTTAAAATTGGTTGGAAGTTTTTAAATGCTATAAATTGTCACATAGTACAGGTTGAGCAGCCCTCATCTGAAATCCAAAATGCTCTAAAATCAGAAACTTTTGGGCACTGAAATGATGCCAGAAGTGGAAAATTTCACCCCTGATCTCACGTGACAGGTTGCAGTCAAAATGCAGTTAAAACTTTGTTTCATGTACAAAATTATTAAAAATATTGTATAAAATTACCTTTAGGCTATCTGTATAAGGTGTATATGAAACATAAATGAATTTTGTTTTTAGACTAGGGTCCCGTCTCCAATATGTCTCATTGTGTATATGCCAATATTCAAAAACCTGAAAAAATATGAAATCCAAAACACTTCTGGTCCTGAGCATTTTGGATAAGGGATACTCAACTTGTACAACCCATTCAGGCAAAATCAATTCCATGTGTACAAAGGCTTCCCTAGAATGGAGGGACTGCCACAAGCCTAACATGTGTTACTACGTTTCCTAGGCTGAGCACACACATATGTGGCTAACACATGGATATTTTCTGTATCCACATGATTTTTCATAAAGCTACATTTTCAGAAAAAGATCAGGAAAAAAGATGACTAGTGTTTAAAATGTTCCTTTTCTGCAGAAGAAGTGTTCATTTGTAGATTAGCATTTGGAGGACAATTTGAATTTAAATAATAAAAAGATGGATGGCAAGAACAGGGACTTTGTAAGATTTTTATGAAATTTAAACCTTCCTATTGAATAGCCTTTCTGGGGACAACCAAGAGGTTAGTGAAAACTGGATAAACCAAGTACCTGATGTTTCTTCCTTGGCCATCACAAGCAAAAGGTTCTTAGATTTCTCTGCCATGTTATGTGGAGGGTCTCTCCACCTAAGAAATATAAAGGAAAAATCATCATGATTCCAACAATGGAGATATTTGAAAACTAAACTCAAGATTAAAGTAGACCATGGTCTCCATATGAGAACATAAAAGACCAAGGGCTGGGCATGTAGAGGCATTAATAAAATTATATCATGCCATTTAAACACCATCACCCCTAAAGATGTTCTGAGTGGCCACAAGTAAATGAATAAATTCTCCCAAAAGATTCCCTAGTTAGTTATTTCTCATCTGGGACAAAATCTACAATGTGAGGAATAATTAAGTCAGAGCTTTGTTGCAACAAAAATCTCAGAAGTATTCACATTATTTTTTTCTGAAAAAAATCTAACTTACTTTTTACATGTACTTTAGACATATAGACACTTTTTTTCTATTCTGAAATTTCCTTGAAAGAGTTTTCTTGAGTATCAGGAGCTGAGTATAAGCACGGATTCCCAAAGAGGCTACCAATAAGGAAGAAGAAATGGACCTCTGTAAATATCAAAATGCAAAGGTTATTATCTGTATTAGTTTCCTCCTGCGGTGTAGCAATAGTTCCACAGCAGGAGAAACAACACATTTATTGTCTCACAGTCTGACGTGTTAGAAGTTCCTACCTGGCTTACCTGGGCCCTCTGCTCAGGGCCTCACCAGGCTTCTGTGAAGGCATCAGTCAGAGCTGTGGTCTCGTGTGAGGCTCCACTGGGAAAGGACCCACTTCCAACACAACATGGTTGTTTTGGTTGCTGTCAGTATTAGTTCACTGTGGGCTGTCAAAACAAGGAGCTCAGTTTCTTACTTAGTTGTTATCCAGAGACCACTCTCAGTTTCTTGCCAAATGTGCCTTCCCAGCATGGTCACTTGCTTTCTCAAACCCAGCCAGGAAGTCTCCTCACAAGATGGGCATTGTGATCTTATGTAACACAATCACAAGAGTGACATCCCATCACCTTGCCGTATTCTGTCCATTGGAAGTAAGACACAGGATCTGTCCACACTTCAGAGGAGGTGCTGACCCAGGGTGTGAAGTTGGGAGGCAGGATCCTTGGGGTCGTCTAGAGTTTGTGTGCCACATTCGATTCTCTAACCCTATCCCTAACCCATTCTTCCTTCCTCCTCCCATGTGCAAAACACATTTCACCCACTCCCAAGGTCCCCAAAAGTCTTATTCCATTTAATCATCTCCCTAAAGTCCAGAACCTTATCATGTAAATCAGGCCCAGATGTGGATGAGGCTCCCTGGAGTGTAGTTCCCATCTGTCAATCTCTAAAAGAAAAGAGACAAGTTATCTGCCAAAAACACACTCAGCGTACAATGGCGGGACAGGCCAAGGATGATAGCTATAGATATTTCTGTTCAAAATGCAGGGGGCTGGAAATTACAGAAGAATCACTGCTCTGTAGCAATTCTTCAGTCTAGCTGGGCAAGTGTTAGGAGTTGTGTGATTAAGTTTCAGGGCCCGGGCTTGATGCTTCATGGTTCTTGGCTCTGCCTTCTGGATTCTTAGTTCTGCTTCCTGAATCATCCTTCCCTTCTCTTGAAGGGGGCATGCGCGTGCAGCTGGGTGGGCTCATCAGCCTCCTTCCTTCCAGTAGAATGTGGGTTTGCTGGCAGCCTTGCATTTGTACTTTCTCTGTTCCTTTCCGTCCCAGCTGGTGGTATTTTTGTGGAAATAACTTTCTGATAAACTTTATGGGTCTTCAGTGGATTTCCCTGGGGTCTGCTCCACTAAACAGAAACCACACTCACGGTCCTCTGTCAGTTTCCTTTCTCTGCCTTGGGGTCCTGCTGAGATGGCTGAGGGACCTCAAGCTCACTAGAGGCCTCTGGCGTGACTGAGAGGATCTGTGAGGCACACACTTGCTCTTGAGAGGACCCGTTGTGTGACTAAATGCTACTCTGATTCTTTTATCTTTCTGAAGTTGTAACAAAAGGTTTTACAGTCACACCCTCAGCTTTCTACTGTGTGCCCACCTTCCCCGACAGTGCGTGGCAGCGATTTCTATGTGGAGTTATGAAAGACCATTATTTTCATGGAGACTAGGTTTGTGGAAAAATGGATAATTTATGGAGAAACAATGCTGGGTCATTAATTGGCTTTTAAATGCAAAATGGAAATGAGCAGTCATGGGCAAAATTAAAATCTTAATTTTTAATGCATCATGAAATGCATCTGTGACTTTCAATGCTTTAAGAAACTAGAAACTCAAGAGAGCCAAGAAAATTTCCAAAACATTTAGCTCATTATTTAGTCTAAGTCAGCAGCATGTTGAGGTCTAGAAAAAGGAGGAACCAACTGCCGGCCCACTGTGTAGGTATGTTATCCATGAATTAATAAAAATCCTAAACAAGCAGAGATGTCAAGGGAACTGACTTCCCAGCCCCACTGTTGTTGGGGGAGGGGGACACTGTCTCACAATTGCAGAGGATCCAGACTTAAGGTCTCACAAGGGCTCTTCCTCTGAGCAGTCCCTTCCCGGGTGAATTCCTTAGTGAAACTCCAGACACGGAGACACAGAGCTAGCCTAGCAATTTCTATTCCCTCTGACTTTTCTTGTTAGAGGTGCTGCAATTTCAGAGGGTGACACCCTAACAGATCCTGGTGTGGCTTGTGTCATGGATACTGTAGAAGAAGAAAGAGGAAAGAAAAAGAAAAAATAAAAGGAAGACAAGTTATCAACAACCTTAAAATGCAGCCAGTAGATAATTTATGTGGCTGAAAGTTCCGAGCCACATGCCCAGGTTGGAGTAGATTTTTAACTATAACATGCTGAGCATTTTCAGAGGTGGCCTGTTGTAGACAAATGAGAGAAAGTATTTGTGAACCATGATTTCCTTTGCCATGGGAAAATGGTAGCCTAGTTGCTGTGCTTTTTATTGAAAGTCAAAGGTTTTATAAGCACTTTTAGTAAGGTTTTCCATTGCCCTCCTTACCTTTTTTTTGTTTTCGAGTGTGAAAGCCGAAATTAGGGTCAAGTTGTCTAGAAAGTCCATACCTTTTAAATGTCAGTCAATCAGCTTGGTAACAGGAGATGGCCTTCTCCTTCTTGTTCTACCCACAGTGAGCTACACGTGGATATTTTTAATTAAATGCTGAGAGTTCTGCTATTCTGAGTTTTCTTGACTTCTTCAAAATGTGTTCTCAAAACAAATGTCAATTTCCTCCTGGCATGATCCATGCATCAGCACATATGTTAATATTTACTTACTGTGACTCTCCACGTTTGCACGTACCTCCTGAGGTCAAATTCTTCTCATCTACTGTGTCCTCACTTTCATCCTGGCTCTTCCATCTGGAGGCCGTGCTCTCTGAATTAGAAGGCTCTTCCCTTTTCCTGCTCCATTGAGAACATCCACTGTCCCTGAGCTCTGATGACTGCAGGGGACTATAGTTACTACCTTAAGAGGGAGACCTAATGCTTTTCTGTTGTCTTAAAAATTGAAAAGATGAAGAACAGCGATTAACTGTTCCATTACCTTGGTTGTTCTTGTCATTGAAAGTTTAGAAAAACTTAACTGTTTGCCTGATTGGTTCTCAACTCTCTGGGGGCTCCTTTGGCCCCTACACAGCAGCTGTCTCTCCCTGGAAGGAAGAGGAAGGAAGAATTTGGACTCCATTGTTTGTTTGTTTTTCTATAGACCCACACAGTGGCCATATCTTATTTATATTGTACCCAACCCCATCTTCAGCTCTTCTTTTCACATTCCCCAACACCGTCATATTTACCCAGCTTGGGGGTTGTCAACTGGATTCCTCTGGTTGGTGTTTGCTCCATCGGCTCTTCCTGCTGGTGGCCCCCATCTGTGGAGGTGCAGGCTCCATACTGAAACAGAAGGAGTTCTTCAAATCTGAGGGGCTCCAAGCCACCCTCGGGATGAGACACCAACCCTCAGAGACCAGTCTTCAACCTAACTCTGATGGTGTTATTTTATCTCGGGAGTTCTGTGGAACTTTCTAGGTTCCTTGTAGAGTTCAAGTTTTTCCACCCTATTTGGTAAAGATAGATCATTCCACTTCCTGTTGCCTTTTTCTGCTTTTTTCTTGTCAAAAGAAGAAAAGACTTTTCTTACTTCACTCTTCCCATTTCTACCTTCCATGCTTTTCCAGAACAGCAACAGGTGTGCAGTACGTCCCATCCTATGGGCACCCTTCAGGTCGGCTGCTTTCTGCTTTCCACAGGGTACCTGTTCCCTCACATTCTCCATGGAGCTTTTCTGGCTTGGTGGAAAGACAGTTCCATCGTATCAGCATTTGCTGTCAGGAAACCACACTCTGCAATTTCCTTTCCCTGGTTGCTGGCTACCATTTGCCTTTATTTTCTACTCCAGAAATGCACTTCATTTTCCACATATAGAGCACAGTGATACCACTGTATACTAAGACAGTGTTTCCTTCCCTGCACATTCTGAGCTGTGTCCGTTTCACTGTGTTTATCTTTGGCTGTGAACACCTGCGATGAGAAAGCCCTCTGTGCTTCTCTTTTCCTAGTGCCCTGCAGGGTAGAGCATTTCTTAATAATGATGACAATAAAGGTGCCAACTTAGGCCAGCAAGTCAGAACCTTTGCCTCCTGTTTCTTACGGCAGATGGCCTAGCAAGGGAGGTAGACGTGAGAAAAAGTCTTGCTTTCTACTATTCTCTGGAAGCTAGATCTGGGCTTAGTACATGAACTATGAAATTTAAATAGTCCTTTAAATCTGCAGTCCCCAGCCTGGTATCGGTCTGTGGCCTCTTATGAACTGGGCCACTGCCTGAGCTCCATCTCCTACCCTCCACCCCTAGTCCGTGGGAAAATTGTCTTCCATGAAACTTAGGGACTGGGGGCCACACAGCAGGAGGTGAGAAAAAGAAGCTTCATCTGTATTTACAGCCACTCCCCATCACCACCTGAGCTCTGCCTCACTCACCTCTCTGCCCTCTGGTCCGTGGAAAAATTGTCTCCCATGAACCCGGTTCCTGGTGCCAAAAAGGTTGGGAACTGCTGCTTTAGATCACCAGTGTGTCTCACGACATTTAGCAAAGTTCAGAGTAACTTCTTCCTTCCTATGAGCTGCAACCTATAGGTCATAGCTATATAGACTGTCTCCTTCTTGTTTTTTGTCTGTTTGTCTCCCTCACTTCACTTCATTTCACTTGTAGTATTAAATAAAGATGCAAGAGAAATGTGACTCACTATAGGGCTAACGGAGGCTGTGGGTATTTGGCTATAATTTGGCAAAATGAATGTCTATGTAGAAGTATAGACGTGCATTCAATCACTGAAAAATGGGACTAATGTTTGTAAAATTGCATAGTAATTCAATTATTTTTGAATACCTGGTGGTCTTTTAAATTAAGATTGTTTGGCATCATTGTGAGAGCCAACACATAAACTTAAAAATACAATAACCTAAGTCATATGTAGCGTGGACCTTCATGCTAATGTCTTGTTTTAACTTCTCTTTAACTTATCCTGATATAAATATAGGACTTATTTGATTCAAGAATGAGAAATGAATTCCAAATAAGGCTATGCTGACTTTGTAACAACTGTATCTTTCAATGTTTATGTTTAGAAGATAAATGCCCTACTTAGATATTTTCTGTACGCTCTTATTTTTGAGTGTCTGTTTGAAGGGTTTTGTTTTGTTTTGTTTCTCCTTTAATTGGCTGCACAGGAAGATCCATCCTGCATTGTGAGTTTAGCATCTTCTTCATTGTCTGCTGTGCATCCCATTGTCTGTGCACACACAGCATGGCCAGCGCCACATCTGCCTCCTGTACTGTGCAACCACTCTGAGTACAAAAGCCCCTTCACGCAGAGCATGCCCATGTGTTCAACATCTGGCACACGGATGGAGAGTGGAAATGTCAGTGACCCCAAGCGGCACTAATCAGTTTCCTTTTCCTCTTGGTCTCCTCATTACAGATACTGCAATGAGCATTTGCTGTGCCCCCCACACATGTTCTGGACAGGCTGGGGTCCTTGGGAACGGTGCACGGCCCAGTGCGGGGGCGGCATTCAAGCTCGCCGCAGGACCTGCGAGAATGGGCCTGACTGCGCGGGCTGCAACGTGGTGAGTAGCCTGCTCCTCACATGCAGCCCACAATCCAGAGCTGGGCGTCCACACGCAGCAGATACGAAATTCTCTACCCACGCAAAGGCTCTGCACACACTGGGTGCTCTGCCTGTGCTAGGTGCTCTTCAGACACTTTATGCCCTGAAGGTACCAAATGCTCTGAAAATGTGACATGTCTAGACATTGGGTGCCCCCCACCCAGTAGGCGCCCTGTGGGCACCAGGGACCCTCCCACACTAGATCTTCCACAGACATGAGAATCTCGGCAGATGCTGGATGTTCTGCAAATATTAAGCGTTCTGTAAACACAACACGGGCACCCACTAGGTGCTCTACACACACTAATCATCTGAGTTTCTCTGGTTAATGAGAATGTCTAAACAAAATACTGGAAATTCAGAGTAGCTTAGAGGCTTCTTGAATTAAGTATTCACATACGGGATAAGCTGCCCTAGGAGTTTTTCAGTTCTGCTTTCTGAGCTATGACAAAAACTTCAGCCTGCTTCACTACGGTCACTACATTTGGTTTGCGATGTGGAGTAATGTCCCCATGCTGCGTCCCCACCAAGGCAAAGAACGAACGCCATGGGAAGAACCTGACACACTCTGGGGACTGAGAAACTACATGGAGCCGTGTTCAGAGTGAGTCGGTGCCTATTCAGAGGGGATATAAGAGAAATTATGGTTTTGTTTGTCTTCTGCCTTAGCAGGTCATATTTCTTTTGATACTTTAAACTGTCTAATAAAATTCCACTTACTCAAGCTCTTTTCAAAAGGCCTGCTCTTGCTCTTCCTTTGTCTTCTGTAAGAATGACTGAGTATTGACACCTGCCGGGCATTCACCTCTTCCCCCTTCCCTGGTGCTGGCTCCACAGAGGGGACACAGAGGGACGGTGGCCAGTGTTTTGGTGGAGACACTCAGCAGGAGAGGGTCTGGCTTGGCGTCCTGGCTGGTGTTTCCAGCTGGCCTTTGTATCACTTTCATCTCTTGGTTCATGAGGCTGAGTGATGTTTTTGTGTAGCTGTAAAGCCTGCTTTTGTGAGATGCAAAAACCACATGGCCCAGATAGCCTTGGGAAATTTCAGGAGAGGGAGAGTGTTATGAGGTGCTTTGTCAAATATTACACCAGGCCCAAGGAGATTTTTGTTATTGGGATCTTCAATTACATTTCTTCCCCTTCATACTGACAAAGATACTGTAGTAGCTCTAGTAGAATCTATTATTGATTATAGAGACAGTTCTTCCCATGTGAACTATGGGAAACTTTCCATCAACTATAAACCATGAAAATTTAAGGGTATAGTTTAGGATTATGTATTTATTGATATTTCAGATGCTGAAATTGAAAAGTATTTATTTTAAATAATTTTAAATGGGTATATCTGTGAATATTCATATGGTCTAGGAGAACCATTCAAAGGCGGTAGCTTTATGCTTACTGAAGTATGTTGTCCCCTGTTCCTGGTGGCATGATGTCTGTACACTGAGGTCTGCCCCTCCATGTCAAGGTGTGTCTCACCTGCTGGGAAATCATGGGGATGAATGATCTGAGTTGATCTTACACTTTAGTTTCCAAACACTTTGCTGTATGGAGAATTCAGAAAACAGTTCACATCATTCATTTTCTCATTGTGGATTGACTTCAATAATTACATTCAAAACAGTTTAATGAAAGAAAAAAATTATACTAAGCAAGAGTGTAGCATATTTCTTATTTAGTTACTGGAATATGTGTCCATGATACATTTGATTATAAATGTAAAAAAGTCTTTCTAAAATGTCAATGTATTTATTGCTTTGTTTATTACAGAATCATGGTTTATTAAACAAATGCAATCTCAGATTTCAAATCCAAAAAATATCACTTGTGTCTCCAATGAGATTATTATAAGTTTTTAGGTAATTTAGTGGTTTGCTTTTCTTTTTGTTTAACCCACCAAACTTAATCTACTGGCAGTCTACTTTGAGGAAGCTGTAATTGTGGTACAAAGGAGCAATCTACTTCTCGATGGCAGAAATACATTTGTTTTTATCCTAACATGGCTTTCCTATGCATTCCAGTTTCTCTCTCTCTCTTTTAAAGACTGGGTCTTAGCTTGGTACTGGCACAAAAATAGAGCCATTGACCAGTGGAACAGAACTGAGAACCCAGATATAAAACCGTCCTCATATAGCCACCTAATCTTTGACAAAGCAGACAAAAACATACACTGGGGAAAAGAATCCTTATTCAATAAATGGTGCTGGGAAAACTGGATAGCCACATGTAGAAGACTGAAGCAGGATCCACACCTTTCACCTCTCACAAAAATCAACTCACGCTTGGTGACAGATTTAAACCTAAGGAGTGAAACTATTAGAATTCTAGAGGAAGATGTTGCAAATACTCTTCTACACATTGGCCTAGGCAAAGAATTTATGAAGAAGACCCCAAAGGCAATCACAGCAACAACCAAAATAAATAAATGGGACCTGATCAAATTAAAAAGCTTCTGCACAGCCAAAGAAACTGTCACAAGAGCAAACAGACAACCTACAGAATGGGAGAAAATTTTTGCATGCTACAAATCTGATAAAGGGCTGATAACCAGAATCTACTTAGAACTCAGGAAAATCAACAAGAAAAAATCAAACGACCCTATCAAAAAGTGGGCAAAGGACATGAACAGAAACTGTTCAAAAGAAGACAGAATAATGGTCAAAAAACATGTGAAAAAATGCTCAACATCTCTAATCATCAGGGAAATGCAAATTAAAACCACAATGAGGTATCACTTATCTCCAGTGAGACTGGCCTTTATCAAAAAGTCCCAAAACAATAAATGCTGGCGTGGATGTGGAGAGAAAGGAACACTATACACTGTTGGTGGGACTGCAAACTAGTGCAACCTCTGTGGAAAGCAATATGGAGATATCTTAAAGAGATACAAGTAGAAGTACCATTCGATCCAGCAATTCCATTACTGGGCATCTACCCAAAAGAGCAAATGATACTGTATAAGAAAGACACCTGGACCCGAATGTTTATAGCAGCACAATTCACAATTGCAAAGATGTGGAAACAACCCAAGTGTCCATCAATACATGAGTGGATTAATAAAATGTGGTATACGTATACCATGGAGTACTATTCAGCTTTAAGAAACAATGTTGATATAGCACCTCTTGTATACTCCTGGATAGAGCCAGAACTAATTCTACTAAGTGAGGTATCCCAAGAATGGAAAGACAAGCACCACATGTACTCACCATCAAATTGGTATTAACTGATCAACACATAAATGCACATATAAGAATAGCATCTATTGGATGTTGGGCAGGGGGGGGAGGGGGGAGGAGGGAGGAGGGGACGGATATTTGCATACACAAAGAGTGCAATGCGCACCACCTGAAGGGTGGACATATTTGAAACTCGGACTTGGGGTGGGGCAAGGGCAACATACGTAACCTAAACATCTGTACCCCCATAATATGCTGCAATAAAAAAAAAAGACTGGGTCTTGCTCTGTCACACAAGCTAGAGTGTGACAGTGTGATCAATCATAGCTCATTGCATCCTTGAACTCCTAGACTCAAGCAATCCTCTCACCTCAGCCTCCTGAATAGTTGGGTCTATAGGTGTGTATTACCATACCCAGCTAATTTTTAGTAGTTTTTGTAGAGAGAGGGTCTGGCTATGTTGCCCAGGCTGGTCTTAAATCCTGGCCTCATGTGATCCTCCCATTATAGCCTCCCAAAGTGCTGAGATTACAGGGATGAGCCTCCATGTCCAGCCAGTTTCTGTCACTCAAGGCAGCAGTGCCAGCCTATGCCAATAGAGGAACATAAGCAAGATGAAGGACCACCTTGGTTTCTTTGCATTGCTTGGAAAATCTATTCTACCAATTAAATTTCTACAAAGTTTATTTAAAAATTATAGTTCTCTAACTAAAAGCAACATTTCTGGTCTTCATATTCTAGCTGCAATTTATAAATCTTTGGCCACTACGTATGTTGTTTTAGAAGTTCTTTTATCCAGAAAGTAGCTATAGGTTTAGGAAATGTATTGGTTTTGGAGTTATGAAGTGATCGTCTGCTTGCCAGTATCTAACTGGATAGCAAGGAGGTGAGATTTCTGAGTCTCAGTCTCCTCCTTCGAGAAGGGAATGACAATTCCTCCCACCGAGAGCCAAAGATAGTGACAAAGATAGTGACACTTGCTGAGTGTGACAGAAAGTCTCATATTTGAGCCCTTTCTACTCTCATTTCTTTAATTGTTATCCCAAGGTTTCAGCTTCTTGTCTGAGATACAGCTTATTAAAAATGACAGTCTTCTAACAAATGTCGTTTACCCAGTAAAGTACAGGTTTGTGGAAAATATAAGAACCTTAATTTCCTGAACGTTACAGCGGTTTATAGGAAGACTTGATGATTTCAAGTGGAACTGGATATAAAGGACTTTCCATGCTCCACCATTTTAAAACTGAAATTTCATGAATATTTCCTCAGTTTCACCAGGAAATTTGTATGTCCTTGTCTTTGACTAAGTCACCAAGCCTTTATTTAAAACTCAATAAAAGAGGTTTAGTTCAGGCAGTGAAGGCCTCTTGCCAAGAATGGTTAGTTCTCTCCATGAAACGCTGCTTGTAAAGTTCCCAATACTGAAGGCTTCAGGAACCTGGATCCTTGGGTTAGTTTAGGAGCTGATGAGACAGACACAGAGGGAGGACCTGGATCTCACGCTGTCACTCAGTTGTGCGCACCTCAGACCCGCTCACTGCCCTCTGGGATTCCTGTCTGTTCCGAAAAGTTCAGGGCCAGGCCTGAGTCATTGATTCTGTGATCCTGGCACCGCTTCTCTGGACCCTGAGGCACTTGTGTCCAGCTGACTGCCACTTCTAACAAATGTCCCTCCCTGGTGGCTGAGACCTCTGATGAGCTTGGGATGAGAAACACCAGGACACTTGAAGAACAGACATTTACTCCTCACTTCAAGAAAGTGAAAACCGCAGGAGCA